CGCGGGCCTCTCACTGTTGTGGCCTCTTCCATTGCGGAGCACAGGCTCCGGATGCGCAGGCTCAGCGGCCATGGCTCACGGGCCCAGCCGCTCCGCGGCATGTGGGATCTTCCCGGACCAGGGCACGAACCCGTGTCCCCTGCATCGGCAGGCGGACGCTCAACCACTGCGCCACCAGGGAAGCCCCCGAGAGGCCTTTCTGACTATGACTGTCACCTGGGGCGCTTGCTTCCCAAATTCTAAAACTTCGTCTAGGGGAAGGTCACATCCCTCCTTTGTCTCCTGCCAAATACCACACTTCGTGGAGGCTGGTGGCTCAATGAGGCCTTACCCTCCCAGTAAAAGACGACCCAAGACACCAGAAGGCTCAGGCCAAAGACCCAGCTTGGGGCAGGTTTGGGGGCCTGAGTGGATAGGGTCGTGTGGGTGCCAGTATCTGTCTACACCTCACCTTGCCCCCCAACCCTGAGGTGGAAGCAGCCAGTGTCTGCCTGCCCTTTTCTACATGCTGTATGTGCATGTACGCATGTACGGTCAGGCCACAAGGCTTTGAGCCCAGCCATGCTCTCGGTCTGTCCACTGGGGTAGGGGCGTCACTGCCCCTGGTTTGGGTGGGGCTGGTAAAGGCCCACGTGGCTCCCAGGCTGACAGGGAGAATCACAAAGACAACACTGGAGACTCAGCTTCGGCTGGACCTGGACCCTGTGCCGTTTCTCCGGGGAAGAGGCCCCTTTTCACTCCTTCCTGCTCAATGAACAGCTTCACACGTTGTTTTCCCAAAGGAGGAAACCATCCTGGTGACTTCACACCCTCCTACACACACGGAATGAGTGACCCAACGCCAGTGCAGGCACCAGGGGCTATCTCTGCTTGTCCAGCAGGCTCCTGGCAACAGAAGCTTAGGATAGATGCCCACAGCTGGGGGCCTTCAGCCAGCCGGGAGAGAACTGCCACAGACCAGTACGGCCCAGCACGCCCCTACACAGATGGAGCTCTGAGGCCCAGTGGGAGACCAGGCAGCTCACAGGCTGGCCACCGGTGAGGTCAAGGCTGGACCAGCTTCAGCATCAGCCAGCACCCACAGCAACACCTCCCCTGAGCTGAGTAATTTGACATCTCCCAAGAAACCCAAGCGGTGCCATCACCCTGCTTTTGCAGATGAGGAAACCAAGGCTCCAAGGGAAAACGTGACTTGCCAAAGTCAGTCCACACAGAGGAGACAGCTACCATTTGAACCTGCTCCTCAGACCAGGGAGCCTGTGAGTAACGAGAGAAAGGGATGCCACCGACTTCGTGTCCCCACACGAGGCCTGGGCAGTAAGGAACGCCCCACCCACGCAGACCGGCTGTAATGACAGCACATCGCTAGCGGAGCCCGCACTGTGGGTGCGCCAGGCAAGCGCCAAGGGCCGTGCACGCCTCGTTCCACCTCACAGCCACCCTAGGTGAACGCCACTATAATCCACGTAGTGCAGAGGAGGAAATGAAAGTTCAGACTGGTTAAGCAACAGGCCCAAGGTCACACAGCAGGCAGTCGGCAGCACTGACACTTGAAACCACGTCTGCCTGACTCCCGTAGTCCACACCTCCTTGGACAGTGAGGGACTGAGTGAATGAGTGAATGAATGAATGAATTCTGGCCCAAAGGTGTGGCTCTGGCTACTGTGTCCTTCCCCCACCCCAGCCCCCCTTCCCTTCTGGTCTTGGGATAAGCAGACGTTGCCCATTCATCACTTGACAGGAAGCAGCTCGATCTCAGGCCAGAGTCACGGGGGCCTTGGGAGCTGCAGGGGATGAGCCACAGATGGTGTCTGGTTTCCTGACTGGGCCTGGGCGCCCTCACCACCCGCCCGCCCCCCCAAAGCCACAATTGCCACTCAGATTCCGCAGCTCCACGACCAGCAGGAGCCTGGCTTCTCTGAGACACGGGACCACGTGCAGCCCCGGGAAGGGCGGTGCAGCCTGTGCAGAGAGGTCCCTGAGCCCCCTGCTCAGGGCAGTGGGGCCTCTCACGGGGTGGGTCTGCAGAACCCGGAGGCCAGCGGCTAAGGGGCAATGCAGCACCCACCCAGCTCACCTCCCCGGCACCCTACCCCATCGTTTTCTTCCGGCTCCCCTCTCCTCACCCACCACCCACCCCCATCTCTCTCCAGCCTGGGGCCTCCCTCCAGAGCTCCAGACGCCAACTACCAAAAGTTCCAGGCACTGAAGACTCACCTGCCCTTCCCTGGGTCTTCATCTCAGCGACGGGGTCTCCTGTCTGCCCAGGAACCCGGCAGGAACCCAGGCTCCGCCTCCAGACGCCTCGCCCTCCCTCATAGTCCACACCTGGTCTTCATCCAGGGCCGCTGGTTCTTTCCCCAAACAACTCTCCACTTACCCAGAGACCCTGCCCTCTGCTGGCCTGGCCCCTTCTCTGTGGGGTCCCTGTAGTTGCCTCCTGCCTGACCACCTGACCTCCAGCCCACCAAAGGAGGGTCCCCCCACCAAGACACAAATCTCAACCTGCTTCTCCCCACCCAAAACCGCGCAGAAAAAGGCCCACACGCCTGAGCAAGGCGTCCCAAACTCCGTCCAGCTGGCGCTGGCTTGCCCTCCTTAAAGCCTACCCCGCCCCAGGCCCCTGCACGTGAGGGCCTCCCCTTCCCAACCACACAGCACCCCGGACCTTCCACACACCAGCCTCTGCCTGGAACCTATGACCTCTCATGGGGTAAAGTCTCCCTCCTGCGTCAGGACCGGGTCCTGGGTCGTAATCAGGCTCAGCACTTCTCGTGGGATCCTGGGAGAGACCCGCCCCCTACCTCATCCATAAAGAGGAAACAGCTGGACCCCGCAGGGTGGACTCCCAGGGGCAGTCGGGTGGTACCAAGCAGCCTGCAATCTCCCAGTCAGTGGAGGGGGGCTCCTCCACCCTCCTGATGCTCCAAGCAAGAAACATCTGCCTCCACGCTCAGGATCCCCAAGGTCTCAGGGCAGGCAGAGATCACCAGGCAATTCAAAACACATCACACCCACACTGCAGGGCTTCCCTGAGCCTTTTTACAATTGAGGCGGCTCCAGATCACCTTTCACTTTCTTCTTCTCGGGTAATAAAAACCAATTCTGGAAGAAAAAAAATGTAGGAGCTGTAAACATCTCTCAGTTCAAGGAGCAATGAGGCATTTGGTTTCTACCCGGGAAGGCCTTTGGCTCCAGGACCTGGTGAAGGCAGACCTGCTGAGCACTTGCTCTGCACCACCTCGGCACATTCCTCCGCAGTGCCTGCGCTGCCCTCTTACAGATGAGGAAAGATAGGTGCCGAGAGGTTAAGTGACTTGCCACGCCCTTGCCGCTGGTAAACGGCATGCACCCGTGTTAGAACCCAGATCTGACTCTCTCCAAAGTCTGGGTTTTAATCTCATCTGCCTGGGGACGTCCTTGGAGACCACTATGGAGCTGGGGGAAGCTGGGGGGTCTCACTCTGCGAGGAGCCTCAGACCCCTTAGGTAGGTCCACCATCCCGAGGACCCCGGCCCTCCAGGGAAATGAACTTGCTCTCTCCTCAAGGCCTTGGCAGGCTCTGCCTCCCTTGCCTGGAATGAACTGCCTTCTGGCAAACCTGGATCCTCCTTCCAGGCCCAGCCCAGGGCACCCGCTCTAGGCAGCTTTCCTGGACTCCTCTAGTCAGTTACTCCCAGGTTCCACTGACCTGGTCTCTGGGCCACCACTGCCTGCACACGTGTCTTCTCCCTCAAATGGAGATTTCCTCAAGGGCAGAGACCAAATCACTCTCCTTGTGGCCCCAGCAGGCCGCAGCGGGAGGGTGACCCAGTATGTAAACACCAGAAGCCAGGAGGGAGAAGCCTGGGGACAGCAGAAATTCCCCTTCTCCTACATCCCGTCTCAGACCACGGCTCCTGCCCTGCCAACCAACAGCCAGAGGGGGAAACCCAGCAGAGCAGCCCTCAGGCAGATGGAGGCTCAGGGTTTGTAAAAAGCTTGCCCCGGGCCCAGGAGGACATCCATAATCCCACCAGTGGCCTCTACACAGGGGAAGTTCTTCAATCCCTGGCCTCCCCTAATTTCCTCTCCTGCTCTCTTTTTAAGGTTTGAAAGGGTGGCTATTCCTGGCAAGAGAAACTTCTGTGGAGAACTCACTGCTCAGACATCAGGAAGGGGCCCAGGTAGCCAAAACCCACGCGGGAGACATAAGCATTCCTTTTCCTGCTTCCCTCGTAACCTCGGGAGTTCTGGCAAAGCCTGGAATCACCCAGCATGAAACTTCTCCCCATTAACCTGGGCAGTGACAAAGGTCATGCCAGGCTGATGGCACTGGCCCACTGGCAGCTCCCACCAGGTGGGTGGTCAAGGGGGCAGCGGTGGCAGAGGTGCAGCCAAGGTCAGGTGCTCTGTGAGCCCAGGCCCCAGAGGTCTCCAGGGCCTGCCTCCCTGTCACTTGCTAGGCATACCCTCAAGGGCAAAGGCTGTAGCCCCAGGTGGCAGGAAAGGGTGAGGGGTTCCCCACAGCAGAGGCAGAGGGCAAAGGCCGGTACCTTGCAAAGTGGCTCCTGAGAAGCTCCGGGGAAGGTCTCGGCTCAGGATTGAAGCAGATGTGAGCACGGTACTGGGACCTCTGGGGATCTGGGTGGCCTCCCCGTGCCAGGGCTGGTGAAGGGGGAGAGGCCAGCCCTGTCTCCGTATGGGACTTCCCCTGCCCAAGACTCCCGTCCCCGGCCACTGCCAAAAGGAAACTCCCCCACCATGAGCTGCTCCAAAAATAGCTCTGGCTGCCACCTCCGTGGTGAAAGGAACTTGTCACTGCCACCAGGGAGCCCACTGCTCACCAGGGACTGGAATCTGATGGCAGTGGCTGTGGGGTCAGTCTTGGAGAGAGCGCAAGTGTGCCGGAAGCCAGGGGGCTTGGCATGCAATTACAGTCCACTCTGGGATTGCCCAATCCTGCTCCCCCATTTTACCCTCCAGGAAACTGCGTCAGGAGGGCAAGAGACTGGCCCAGGGCCATGGGCACAGCAGTGGCAGCGCCTGGCTAGGACCCGGCCTCCTAAACCCACCCCATACCCACATGGTCAGGCAAAGGAACTTGCCGTGTAGGCTCTACCAACCCCTCACCCCCACCCCAGAACCCAGAACACTGACAGCAAACGCCGAGGTCCAACCAGCCTGGGAGGGATGAGGGGTGCTTCCCTCACCCACAGGGCTGCATTCCCACCCACCCCCATGGGGGCCAGCCAACGCTAAGAATCATAAATGTTCTTGCTGTCCCTTTAAAAGCTTAACCCTGAGGGCTTCCCTGGTGGCGCAGTGCTTGAGAGTCCGCCTGCCGATGCAGGGGACACGGGTTCGTGTCCCGTTCTGGGAGGAACCCACATGCCACGGAGCGGCTGGGCCCGTGAGCCATGGCCACTGAGCCTGCGCCTCTGGAGCCTGTGCTCCACAACAGGAGAGGCCACAACAGTGAGAGGCCCACATACGGCAAAAAAAAAAAAAAAAAAAAAAAGCTTAACCCTTTCTAATCTCTCTTTTGTGAGCTGAACCAAAAATATTTGCTGCCTAAGAGATGAGAGCCTTGGTAGGCAGCAGCCCTGGGTTCAAGTCCTGGCTCTGGCGCACCCCAGCTGTGTGGGCCCCAGGGTTCTCGCAGGTAAAACTGGAACACAAATAGTATGCATCGCCCCGGGCTGTGGAGGCTCCATAACATCAGGGGCCTCAGAAGTGCTTAGCCCCAGGCCTGGCACAGAATACAGCCCCAATCACTGGAGTTACTGTTGATTATTAAGCCTTATTCTGGCCCCGTGCTCTCGCACACCAGGCTGTGGATCCAGGATCCGAGTGTTCCCACCTTCCCTTCCTTCTACACATCCTTCCAGCTGCCGTCTCCGTTGAGGGCCTGTGCTGACCACGGGTGACCCCAAGATCGCATGGATGGAAACCCCCTTGCTCTTACGGGGTCACAGGAGAGAACCCAGAAACACAGGGGCAGATAACCGCAAGCCAGAAAAGAGCATGAAAAGTGTCCCCAAGAAAAGGACTGAGAGACCCTCACTTCGTGACCCAGGCAAGATCACGGACAGCTTCTTACAAGGGTTGGAGTCTGGGGTAGCCTGGAAGGAGAAGCACGGTGAGCACCAGAGGGACGGGAATTCCAGCCGAGAACGCAGTGGGGTCAACGGCACAGAGGCTGGCGGACCCGCGGGCATGTGGGAGAAGGCAGGGACGCCTCCAGGCCAGCCCCAGCCCTCCATCTCCGAAAAGAGCTCCCGTGGTCGGAACATGCCTTCCTCCCCAGAACGAGAGCCAGCTCCACCCTGGGCAAACCCCCACCCCCCCCCCCCGCGCCCCATCTGCAGCTCGACCGCCGGGACTGACGAGGGCATATGGCAGCTGAGGCCCCAGAGGACACACGGAGCCAGATCCTGGCACCGGGACTCGGCCACCTGCCAGCACACCTTCCCCACCAGCCGGGCCCAACTGTCGGGCATATGCCAGGTGCCGGCCCCTGGGTGACTGCGGCCGGGCCCAGGCCAGCCGTCCACAGGCCTGGGTGGACTCCCCGCCCAGGCCCCGGCTCACGGGGCACCCCTGGAGGACCGTCCTCCACGACCCGGCGAGGTGGGCGGCATCAGCCTGCACACACAGCAGAGGCTCCAGACGGGCCGGTCGGGCCCCCAAGTTCGGCACTTTCTGCCTAACCATTGTTTTTCTTCTGCTTCCGGCCTCCTTTCTGCTGAGAGGAATTCCCTCCAGGGCTCCCATCTAGGACACGGTAGCACCCAGGGAAAACACAGATTCCTGGAGCCTTCCTCTTCCTCCTGGGCCAGGATGGCAAGAACCTTCCTGAAGTTTACCTTGGCTCTGATCAGCCTCCATGCCCGTGGGCACACACGCACTGCCAGTCACTCCCCGCCTGTCCACCTGGGACACAGAAGAGAGGGTGGAGCTGTGCTGAGGGGCACAGACGGGCTCGCAGTCCCATCAGTGACCAGACTCTCAGGGCCGCCTGGGTCACCGGGAGCCTCCAGCACGACCTCCATGCAGCTCAGCGTGGCTCGGTCTGTGGGTGACAGTGTCTCCTCCATCTAGTCCTGCCACCCCACGCAGAGTTACGGGCCAGCACACTATCTCAGCTTCCAGGGCCACACCACAGTGGCCCTGGACCTTCCTGTGTCACATTCCCCACAGGATCCTCGTGGACTCCGCGTCGGGCCTGGGAAATTATGAGGCCATTTTTAACCCCTCGAGGGTGAATCCCACTCTGAGCCACAGCGTGTGGCATGGTGGCTCGGGACTCACATGGTCTGGGACCCTCAAAGGGCCGCATGGCCTTGGGAAAGTCATGGCCTGTCTCTGGGTCTTGGTTTCGCCACCTACAACATGGGTGGGTCGGGCTCTGCAGTCTTGGGAGGGCTCTTCTTGTGCCAACACTTTTTATGAGGCTGATGGAGAATTTTCAACTCGCTGGCGTGCCCTGAAACTGAGCTCCAGGAGCCTGTTATCTAATCCTGTGCTCATGTCTGGGAGGAAAACCAGACCTTCTGGGTCTGGAATTGCTAAGGGACACTCTCTCTGACCTTGGAAGATTTTGTGAGCCCCCCAGCCCCCTGCACACTGCCCTCCCAACTCGCAACAAGCCACAGCCATATGGGGGGATGGCTCAGAGGCCTCCCAGCTCCCAGACACACAGCCATGGAAGTGGCGATGTGTACACAGTGCGGTCCACACACAGAGAACCCCTTAAGTGCCAGGTTCAGGGCCAGATCCTTGAGGGGTGCTCATGTGCTTACAAAACGACCCTGTAAGGCAGACAGTGCGTGCATTTGACAGATGAGGAAAGTGAGGCTAGTGAGGTCACACGACTCGCTGGAGGTGTCCCAGCTGGAGAGAGGCAGAGCCTGGATGGAAATGTAGGTCTGAGTCCTCGTGGTCGTGGGGGAACCAGACCCAAGTGCTTAACTGTGTTGCAGAATCAAAGTAGGGGCCACTGATTCCAACTTGGGCCAATCAAGGGGGCTGCAAGGAGGTAGTGGCACTGGATCTGGGACCCAAGGGCCAGGAAGTGAGGTAAGGCTGCCCAGCACAGGCTCTGGAGTCTGATGTTCAAATCCTGCACTGCCTCTGTCCAGCCGCAGGAGCTCGGGTTAGGCCTGTAGCCATGTCTCTGCAGTTCCCTCCTCTGTAAACAGGGGGCTGTGTAGGACCGGCCTCGTGGGGCTGGTTATGAGGACCGCGTGGAGGACATGCCGGCAGAATGCCAGCAGCTCAGGGCTATCAGGACTAGGTATACACAAGAGCTCAATCAATGTGGCTGTTGCTACTATTATGCCTACCGTTATCACCATTAAAAACCAGTGCTGGGCTTCCCTGGTGGCACAGTGGTTGAGAATCTGCCTGCCAATGCAGGGGACACAGGTTCGAGCCCTGGTCTGGGAAGATCCCACATGCCGCAGAGCAACTAGGCCCGTGAGCCACAACTACTGAGCCTGCGCGTCTGCAGCCTGTGCTCCGCAACAAGAGAGGCTGCGACAGTGAGAGGGGCCCCCGCTCGCCGCAACTCGAGAGAGCCCTTGCACAGAAACGAAGACCCAACGCAGCCAAAAATAAATAAATAAATAATAAAAAATAAAGGAATTCCCTTAAAAAACAAAAAAACAGTGCTCATTCAACAGCGATATCCCTGCAACAAATATTTCTGGCAACCCAC